CCGTTCCGAAGAACAGCATAGTTAGTTGAAACTCAATGCCGAATGTTGGGTCTCTTCTGCTTATCGCAATTAGTCCTTTCTCCCAGCGTCTGTAAGCCGTTTCTAGAGGAGATACCTGAAACACTGCCTTCCTAGCAAACATTCTCACAGAAAAGGGTACTCGGATACTGCATTGACATTACTTTACAGTCAACTCAACCCACACCACCAGCTGACGGCTAACTTCACTTTTTTCCACTTTTTTGGAAATACGAGGTATTGGTCGTTATTTCGTAACTGTTTAAATTTAATCCTTAACTTGATCTTAAGATTTAAAGTAAATTCGGCAAGATGTGGTTATGTAGTCCCACCTGATGAGTACAATACTGTTGGGGTTGGGGGTTAGGGTAAAGGGGTTAGAGTTAGCGGTTAGGGTCAGGTGTTAGGGTTAGGGGCTAGAGTTAGGGGCTGGGGTTAAGAGTTAGAGTTAGGGGTCAGGCTTAGGGGTTAGGGCAACTACAGTGAGTGACCGATCGCATGAAATGTTGACTGAAATTCTGAAATGCGTTTTCGATTAGGCATGATTGCTTAAGTACGGTTGTAAAACTGATGATCTTGTGGCATAATCCTATAAAATTTTGGACTCAACAGGATGTCAACTTCTGAATGCACTGATTTTCAATCTCCTGTAGAAACCGTACTCGGTATAAAGGTGGCTATCTAAGTAGCATGCATTTTCCCCATTGATTTTCGGTGGTCTTACAAATTCAAATATATTTCATAGAAACCACGAACAAAAATATGCTTTCTTTCAGCCAGGTGATAGGGATGGCGTGATTCTCTATCAAACGACTGAAAGAAGGCATATTTTTTCGTTGATTCCATGAAATATATTTAAATTTATAAAATCATCGAAAATCAGTGTGAAAAATGCATTGCCCCTAAAACGGGCCACGCGGTAAATGCGTTGAACCAACAAAGGGGTCAAAATCGGAGTGCAGCAGGCATTATCCAGAATGCGCACCCGTAACTAATACTAACACTGGGATGTGGTGGCAGGTTCAGTTGCCGCCTGACTCCGCGATAATTGGGATCAATGCCACCCCCACTCTCCGCCCTTTGTGTTGTGGTATACAATTCCGACAAAGTGTTTGTTGTGGACCAGGGGGCGTGGTGGCACGCCTTGGTGCGGATTTCGTCCTGCCAGCCACCTGCGTCCTCTCCTGCTTCCAGTCTTCTTGAGTCTGTCATGACAGTCGGTCCAGGTGGAGGAGGAGGAGGAGGAGGAGGAGGAGGAGGAGGACGAGAGAGTGATGTGGGTGCTGTGCTGGGCTCCAAGAATATGCAATTCCAACTAAGCGAACAGATCGATAAGCTTAAACATTTCGGTCGCTATGTTGACGATATCTTTGCCATTGCCACTGCAGAAACCGATGTAGCAACCCTCTTAGATGCGGCAAATCAGGCACATCCGTCGATCAAATTCACGCTGGAGATGGAAACGGCCGGTTTGTTCCCTTTCTTAGATGTTCTTCTAAGCAGGAGACCTGACGGGAGTGTCTGAAGAAGCGTCTATCGGAAGAAAACCTGGTCTGGACAATACACGAACTTCGCCAGTTTCGTACCCCTCCAACAAAAACGAAATCTAGTCCGATGTTTGGCACAAAAGGCTAGAAAAATTTGCTCAACAGATAGCATCGAGGAGGAGCTCAGAAAAATCCAGGACTTCCTTCGCGAAAACGGATATCCTGAAAGGTTTATTGAAAAGAATATTGCTGAACGACCGATCAAACCCGCCACACCGACCGCCGAAAAGAAGACTTTGTTCCTCAAGGTCCCTTTCCAAGGGGACGCCGCAAGTGAACTCCTAAGGAGACGCCTTGATCAAGCTGTCTCGCGAACCTTCCCAGCAGCAAGGGTTCAAATAGCATTCTCTACTAACCCGATTTTACGCGGAGAAGGTAAGGATAAGTTGTCACCGCAGACCACCTCAATGTGCATATATTCCTTCACTTGCTCCTGTGGAGCAGGTTATATTGGTCGCACGAGTCGGCGCTTATCCAAGAGAATACGCGAACACCTTCCTGCATGGCTGGCAAAAGGTGAAACTAGGAGAATAGACAGCGTCATTCTCGCGCATGTTGTCGATTCCGGACATCGTGTGGACCCCAACGAAGCTTTTCGCGTAATTTATAAGGTCCCATCGAGCTACCCTAAGCTACTAGGCCAGCGCCTGTTAGCGACAGCGGAAGCAGCCGCCATTAGGCTACGAAAGCCAATCTTATGCGCGCAGAAGAACCACGTTCAGGCTCCGCGCCTACAGTGGTCGAAGGCCGACTAACGCTGCTACACTTCGAGCCCTTCCGCTCTCACCCCGCCCCTGACAATGACTGCTATTACCCACCCCTCCCCCCCACATTCCCACACCCCGCCCGTGTTTTAAGTAGAACTTTTATCGATTTTTCTTATCGCTGACGTGTTTTTATTCTACCCCGTTCTCATATAACTGTACTGGCCCGATGAGAATTAATCGAAAGCTACGTATGCTCGCCACCTCGTCTTCTGATATGCAATTCAATCCGACTGTTTCTACCAATACACAGCAATTTCCACAAAACCGGTGTGAGGCCGTGGGGCGGCTGATTTAGAGCTCCCAGGACTTACCTGATGAAATCTCCTCATGAGGGCCTGATGATGGCTGTAGACACACTTCTAGCCTAGGCTTTCAGACCCCCTGGTTCCCAGAAACACGCGCCCAGTAAGGCACATGAACCCGCACTTCCAAGTGTTCACAGAGTTTTTTGTCCACGGCGGGAGAATTTGCTTCTGAAAATCTTAGTGGTTTTGTGGCGAGTATCTGCGTGAATAGGAAACGCGAGCCGGGTCCTCAGCCGCTCTGGGGAGCGGGGGGTGGGAGGAGGAGGGGAGGGGCGCGGCGACAGGAGAGCATGGGCGCGAAGGCAATCGGAGCTACGAGCCACGGTCAGCCAACAACACCACAAACACACTTCAACTGGCAAGAAGGTATGCGGGGGAGGGGAAGAGAGGTTAAGCAATGAACAGAAGCTACCTGGCGGCCAAAAATAGAATAAAAAAAACTCAGACACGGAAATCTGCACCAAAATTCATGAGCGCAACAAACGAAACATCTGTTGGGACGACAGGACTGGGAGGAAACTGTTTTACTTCATTTTTTAACATCAAACAGACCGATTTCCCGCAGGTGGCGAGCAATGGACTGAACCCCTGGCATATGGTTTGGGTTAAAAAGGACTGTTTAAATGAGACTGTAGCATTATGTGATAATACAGGGACGCCAGATCCCGGAATATAATTGCCCCAGTCACCTGCAAAAATTGCGTCTCTTACGAAACAACTACTTAATTAGAACACATTTTGCCAACCATTTACAATTATCGTATAAATTTAACTGTTTTCTATTGGTAGGATGTGTGGAAAATTAATCTTTGTGCTCAGCTTGAAGAAAGGCTATCGACTGCCTTTAATTAATGTCGTAATAATGAGAACGTTTGAGACGTTGGAATGGTTTTTTCCGGTGACCATATTTGAACGCTTGACAGTAGTGAGTCCGGAGTAAAAACGCGATCCACGTCCGTTACAAAATCGAATGAGCATTTAGTAACCCCTCTCTGGGTAAGTGAGAAGTATACAGCCTACAGTTTGAAGACCCCAAAACTAAATCCAGTGGCAAGTCAGGTATATACTCAAACGAGAATGCCTAAATCCCCTTTATAACCGAGAGGCATCTTCTATTTTCCAGCTTTTTAATCTCTTAAGAAATTAGTTGTGCTAACTTGGCGACTTGGCCCAAAATTTGATAAGAATATCTAAACTGAAACCTACCAGCTTCAGCGATATAACCGCTTTATTTCCATGTCCTGACAACGGGTAATTAATGGCATTCTGATGTTATATTATTCACCCTACTGACGTTTGCGTACCGACAGTTCGACCGTCGACCTCGACTATGTCGACCTTGTGCTCCAAAACAGGTTGAAAGCAGGGACGGTGAGTTGTGTGTGAACAAGTCTATAGTGATAGCGGACTTTCGCAGCGCCTACCGCACTCCCTCCTCCTACTCCCGCACCTGGATCCGGTGTCAAGACAGTGCCAAGACAGTGCCACCTGCGGTGGAGGGCGCAGGTGACTGGCACGGCCTAAACCCGCACCTAGGCGTACCACCACACCTCCTAGTCTTTTAGGGACATTGACCAGGAGTTTATGCCACAATACATATGGGGGGAGAGGGGGGCGGGAGTGTCGGGAACTCCGGTTTGCGTGGCGTGAACCGGTAACTTGGTCTGCCGCCACTCCCAGGTTGCTGACATCATTTATGGGGGCACATTCCCGATAATGTCTGCCAGACTCCGATCTAGTCGTGACTTTAATCATATTTAGGGGAAGTTAATCACCCAGTCTACTGCAACACATGGAATCCAACAAATTTGGTACAGCTGGCTGACTGCCCAAGCAGGATTTCCTAAGCAGTCCATCTGCAATCCACCAGATGACTACCAGGTTCAATTAATTACTAGATGTTTCGACAAATTTACATAAGTGGGAAAAAAACTTGATTGCCTCATGAGCATAATGCATGCAAATGCCGTGAATGTGTTGTTCGCTGTTATTTCGTAAATTTTCCACCTTTGAACGCTTTCGTTTCACTAGCAGTTTTATGCATTTTGCACACTAAGAATGCCTGTAAATATTTGCAGCTCAAATGCTCCTCAGGCAGACCTGTATCGTTCAAATGGAGTTTTCAAGGGCCTCCGTCATTTACTCCAATTACGACAGTTTGACCGTCGTGAAGGACCATGTCCACCGTGTGCTCCACAGCAGGGTGAGAACAGGAACGGTGGCTTGTGTGTAAATTAGTTTATAGTGATAGTAGACTTACACAGCAGCTGTCGCTCTCCCTCCTCCTCCTCCTTCTCTGACTGGGCCCGGTGTTAAGACATATTTAAGAAGACCGAAGGCAGGAGAGGGCGCAGGTGACTGGCATGGCCGGGCCCGCACCTAGGCGCACCACCTCACCCCCTGGTCCGCAACAAACACTAACCAGAATTTTAACCAATGACGAGAAGAGTGACGGCTGGCGCTGCGCAGCCGCCTCTAGGCGTACTGCCACGCCCCGCCTCGCATCCCCGCGGAATGGGAGTGTCACAAGGGCCACATTAAGAAGGAGCCATTGCAGCCTGACTCTCAGACTCTCTCAGTCCTCCGCCTCCGCCTCCTCCTCTTCCTCTTCCTCCTCCTCCTCCTTCTCCTCCTGCTCCTCCTCCTCCTGCTTCTCCTTCTCCTTCTCCTACTCCTCCTCCTCCTGCTCCTCCTACTCCTCCTTCTCCTGCTCCCTCTCCTCCTCCTCCTCCTCCTCCTCCTCCTCCTCCTCCTCCTCTGACTAGGTCCGGTGTTAAGACATAGTCAAGAAGACCGAGGGCATGAGAGGGCGCAGGTGACTGGCATGGCCGGGCCCGCACCCAGGCGTACCGCCTCACCCCCCTGGTCTGCAACAAACATCTAACCAGGATTTTAACTAACAACTGTCGAATTACGAGAGTTCGACCGTCGTGACCGACAAAGTCCACCGTGTGCTCCACAGGAGGGTGAGAACAGGCAAGGTGACTTTAGTGTTTGAATTAGTTTATGGTGATTGTAGACTTGCGTAGCATCTACACACGCTTTTCTCCTCCCCAACCCGTATCCGGCGTCAAGACGGTGTCAAGAAGACCAGAGGCGGGGGGAGGGCCGCATGTGGCTGGCAGGGCGAATACTCGTCCCCTGGTGTACCATCACACCCTCTGGTCCAGAACAAACACTTGATCAGGACTTTGACCCACAACAATAATGAGGAAGAGGCAGGGATCCCCGTTGGCCTGACGTGAGCCGGCGAATATGCCTGCCCCCGCCCCCCGAATGTTGACATTTGATATGAGTGTGCATTCCCGATAACGCCTACTAGAATCCGACCCAGCCGCCGTATTGGTCCAGCACATCTACTCCGTGGCCCGTTTTGAACGCAGCGTTTGTGTATTACCGACTGCCTGTTGGCAGCTCATGAATGCTACGCGACCAAATATACTAGCTTTTTGACCGAGCCTGGATAGGTTTGTCTCGAAAGACTGACCTCAAGTCAGCGCACTAATTTCTAAGGCAATTAAGAAGCTACCACTTGTGTTGTCTGTATGGTGAATGATAAAACATTTGCACACTTTTTTATTTAATAAAAGTCTGGACAGCCGTGATTTTCTACTAAATAAAGATGAAAGTGTCAAGTGAGCGTTTGACCCTCACTGTTGTGATTGGGCTCTCACTCGATCCCATTCTGTCCGCCCGCCAGCTTGCTACTGACGACAACGAACGCTGTGCCATAGGACACATACCACATACAGTGCGTGACCGATCTCATGAAATATTGGCCGAGATTCTGAAATGCGTTTTCGATTAGGGAGGATTACTTAGATGGGGTTGTAATATTGATTATCATGCAGAAGAATCCTATATTGTTCCGGACATGCCAGGATATCGGCTTTTGAATGCATTTCTTTTCGACCGCACATAGAAATCACACTTGTTAAAAAATGACTACTTATGTAACAAGCATTTTTCACACTGATTTTCGATGACCTTATAAATTTAAATATATTTTGAAGAAAATATGCACAAAATGTGCTTTCTTTTATTCGTTTGGTAGAAAGTCACATAATCTTTGCATTTTATGCCCTAAGAAAATTATCTTTCGGTTTTAAAAAAGTTTCTAATTGTGTGACTTTGAAGACCGTGCGATGTCCATGCATACAGCACCGAACAGGTCGGTTTAGCAATGCTCCTCATGAAATGTACAGCACAGCCCGCATCCATTGCAAAATTTTATGAACACTAGACGATATCTTCTTAAAGGCATGGAGGAATATATGATTTTCCTTACGCGGAAAGTATACACCTTGTTGAATGAAATTGCCAAACGCTAAAGCAACGACTGATCAGGCTCCAAATTATTCGACAATTAGACAACTTTTTTAAAACTTAATTATACTCCTTCTTCGAGTATAAAATATAAAGTTAACGTGATCCCCTATCCAACGACTGAAAGAAAGCGCATTTTTGTTCGTGGTTTCTATAAAATGTACTTGAATTCGCAAAATCATCGAAAATCGATGGGGAGAATGCATGCTACTTAAGTAGCAACTTTTTAACAAGTGTGGTTTCTGTGTGCGATCGAAAAGAAGTGCATTCAAAAGCCGATATAATGGCGAGTCTGAATTGCTATAGGATTCTGCTGCATGCCTATCTATATTACAACTCCACCTAAGTAATCCTTCATAATGGAAAACGCATTTCAGAACTTCGGTCAACATTTCATGAGATCGGTCACGCACTGCATCGTACATAAGCAGCTTATTTAGAGTGTAACAGGCCAGACGCAGAAAAGTGCTTCACGGTCGTTGTCGATCATCAGCAGGTCATAGGTCGTATGAAGTATTATGTGTGGTGTGGATCAAACGTTTACTTAACGTGTTTATATACCTCACTTGAAAGGGTCTATGACGTACTGATAATCGGCAACTGCCGTGAAACAGCTGTCTGCGTCTGGCCTGTTGCACTCCTAAAGACAAAAGTAGCCCTTTTGGCGCCCCACCTAAGTACGACGATTGCTGATTTAAAGGCATCAAAAATTAATGGAAACAGTCAATCCTAAGTAAGTAGGTATTTTTCAGCAAGCGCGATTTTTGCCGTCTGCAGAAAAGGTGCTCACCCGAAAACCAGCATCTTGGCGCGTATGAAGTTAACCTGGAAGGTACACTGCATTCTAAGCAGTAGCACAACCCCAAGGTAACAACCCTTTTCCGACCAAAACTATGTCTTAGGGTTTCAGTCAAACTCCCAAGGGCTTCGCTACCAGCCGTACATGGGCTTTGAGAGTGCGGTTTACTGCAGTACACAGTTAGCTTAGTGTGTTTAGACAGTGGCACCTAATAAGGAGTGCAGTTCCTAAAATCAAAGTGTTTCCAAATGCGTGCTGCAAATACCGCCAAATTTTGACAACTTTCTGCATGACTGCCATCAGCGGATATCGGGAGAACATGGGCGGCGTTTTTAGCCCACATGGAAGTCCATGAGGATTAAGAAGTTGAGTGTTTGCATGTTAGAGGCACATTTGTACAGTGCGTGACCGATCTCATGAAACGTTGGCTAAAATTCTGGAATGCGTTTCCGATTAGGAAGGATTACCTAAGTGGGGTTGTTATACTGATTATCATACAGCATAACCCTATAACATTTCGGACCCACCAGGATATCAGCTTTCGAATGCACTTCTTCTCGACCTCCTGCAGAAACCACACTCGGTAAAAAATGACTGCGTGCATTTTTCATATTGTTTTTTGGTGATCTTATGAATTAAAATATGTTTTATAGAAAAAATATAAACACATATGCTTTCTTTTGCTCATTTGGTAGGAAATCACACTGTCTTCATAGATTACGCCCGAAGAAAGTGTACATTTTGGTTTTAAAAAGTTTCTAATTATTATATTTTTAAGACCGTGCCATTTCCATGCATGCAAGACCGCACATGTCCGTTTATTAATGCTCCTCATGAAATGTACAACACAGTCCGGACCCATTGTAAAATTTCATGAAATCTATGTGGTATCTTCTTAAAGGCCTAGAGGAATATATGATTTTCCTTACGCCGAAAGCATGCACCTTGTAGACTGAAATTGCTAAACGCTGATGCAATGGCAGAGCAGGCTGAAAGTTATACGAAAACTGGGAAACTTTTGTTAAAAACTAAATACACACTTTATTCGGGCATAGAATATGAAGACAATGTGATTTCCTACCAAATGAGCAAAAGAATGCATATTTTTGTGCATGTTCTCTATAAAATGTATTTGAATTTATAAGGCTATCGAAAATCAATGGGAAAAATACACGCACATAAGGAGTCATTTGTTGCCGAGTGTGGTTTCTGCAAGAGGTCAAAAAGAAGTGCATTCAAAAGCTGACATCCTGGTGAGTCCGAAATATTACAGGGTTATGCTGTATGATAATCAGTATAACAACCCCACTTAAGTAATCCTTCCTAATCGGAAACGTATTCCAGAATATTGGCCGACATTTCATGAAATCATTCACCACTGTAGGCATGCAGCAAGCGACCGCGACTCAGGAAACATTAACTGAAATCCTGAAATGAGGTTTGGGTTAGAAAAGACCACTTGAGTGGGGTTGGAGTAGTGATTAAGTTGCAGCATAATCCCATTATATTTAGTTCGTGTCAGGATGCTGGCGCTCGAATGTGCGTGTTTCCTGCCACCGGCAAAAAATCAGTTGCTAAAGATGGCAACTTTATCAGTATGAATTTTATACTCATTCACAATGTACTTATGAATCAAAATCTATTTTGTAGAAAGCATACATAAGGCATTCCTTTTTATATCCATTTTGTGGTAAATTATTCTCTTCTGGCTACGACAAAGCTTGTGATCAGGCGATTTTTGAAGACAGTGAAATGTTTTTTGGGGCAGCATCGTATCTATAGCAACTAAGCTGTGGGACTGTGAACTCAGGGTGCTACAATCATCTAGTCAAATCCCATGTTTGAAGGAAAAGACAGGAGGCATCAGAATGAAGGGTTTAGTGTGCACAGAACCCGAAGTTGTCCTCTCAGGCGGCAGTGGTCTCTGGCGAAGCCAGGGCTGATGCTGACTGCGTCCAGTGATGCCTGGGAGCCCTTGGGACAGTGGTGGCATCCGATTTTGTAGGCTGGTGGGCCCCAAACTCAAGTGGTGTACAAGTGGCTTAGGTTGCGGTTGCAGGGGGGCTCTGCGGTTGTGTGGACGCAGGTATGCCCGAGCTGTCGCTTGTGTGACTTCAGGTCAGCGCGTCTGAAACGGCTCACTGCAAAAGATGAATGACCTTGAGACAGCGAGGTTTGGAACAATGACGCCAGACCGGCCATGATGGCTGCTCGCTACATATTTGATTGTTTATTAATGCTCCTTTTCAAGCATACAATGTAGTCCATATGCACTGCAAAATTAATGGGCGCTAGATGGAACCGTCTTAATAGCATGAGAAAATGTATGATTTCCCTTCAATAAAAAGTGTACAGTTGGAATTTTTGAACCTTAAAAGCATTTGCATTGGTTAGTGGGTTAAAAAGTATTCGAGAATTAAGGATTTTTTTTAAAATTAGAAGATCTATTTTCTTCATGCTGTACGCCTACCGCCGTCATCATCCCAATTGAGGAATCCTTTCAAATTAACACCATATTTCAGCATTCCACTTAATATTGCATGCAACACCATATCCGCTGTGCGTCGTCGGTCCTGTCAGCTATCTTGTACGTCCTAACATGGTCCGTAAGAAAGTTGGATTACCGATCACTTCTTTCTT